CAAAATAAATTTTTTTCACTAATAATATATAAGTAATTAACTCTTTAACTAGACTCTCTGACAAAAATAAATTATGGACTGCATGCATGGCTAAAGGTGCCAGAGTTTTTTTAAGTAACAATATAAGACCTTATGGAATATTTTTAAGATTTTTGTTATAGAATATTATGATTAGGAGATATTACTTTTTGAAAAAATTTAAAACATGTTTATTTAATATATAATATTTTTGAAATTCAAATAATAACAAATAAAAAGGAGAGGTAGCGTAAGTTAAAGTTTGAATTTTAAGATAATTTCATGAAAACTAAATATTTGCCTCTTGTAAAAATTTAAATAAAATAGGAGAATTTATTTTAAAAAACAATATTATTATTTGAAATTTTCTTAAAACTATATTAAATATGAAAATATCAAATTCTATATTTTACCTTTTAAAAAACATTGATATCCACACAATCCGACTCACTTGGTGTCTAAGATAGAGTAATTATTTTAATTTATTGTAATTAGTTATTTATCGTGATAATAAAATATAAAAGTACTTAATTAATTGAAAACGATATATTAGCACTTAAGATATATTAGTCCTATCAATCAACATATGAAAACTTAAATAATTATTATGCAAAATATTTTTAAATTAATTATTTAATAATATATTATATAATTTTAAGAAAAACAACTACAAGAACAAAAAACGACAAGAATAACTTCCCCAAACTTAAGTTAAAGCAATTTTTTCTATCAAATTTGAGTCGAATCGTAATTAAATTTCATATTCAAAAATATATTTAAATGGAAAATATTATTCATACATACATCTTGTTTTTCATTCCATTTTCTCCTTTTATCTGTCTTCACTTTTATCCTATTATTTTATCACGTCTATTTTTTTTTTTTCACCATAACTCACCAAAAAATGGTGTGTATGAATATCATTACTAAATTCAAATAGTTGAAATTATAAAATGCGACATAATTAAATGTATAATGTACTTACATGAAGGAAGTTGGGTGGTGCCTGGTGCCCACGTGCATTTGTCAACGCGTTGACTATAAATAATATTTATTTTTATAGGCATGGTTATTCCCTGTCGTTACATTGAAATTTTTTTTATAAGCAAACAATATTTAAATTATAAGGAGTACAAGGGGTATTCCAACCCGTTACAATAGAGTTCAAAATCAAAGCAAAAATTATAAGATACACAAACCCGGGTTATAATACCAACTAATGTAACTAAAAAAACAATTGAGGACAGAACTGGTAATCCACTTCCATGAACTCAGTTTTATGCTGTCCAACAACTCCTTGCAATCCATAACACCTTGCTGAAAGATAATAATATTCCGATGAAGCCATAGTGACTAGATTACAGACACCCAAACCACTTGAAAACACTGAGAGCGTTTTTTAAATATATCAAGATTCGTCCAATATAGATAGAGAAATTAAAGAATTTGGAAGGACCACCGCAACCTCCAACCAATTAGCAACGGCTAACCAAGTATTAAAAGTCATTGGACACATTAGAAAGAGATGGAGAGGGTCTTCGACAAACAGAGAGCAAAGAGAACATAAATTGTTATCCAACTCCACACCACGTACTTGTAACAATGATTTACACAAGAATGCATTCATGAACACCTGCCAACAGAACACCAAACACTTGATCGGAGCCTTGCATTTCCAAAGACTTTTTATGACTAGATGAAAATCTAAGGAATGTCTAAGTTCTCCACCCAGCGAGCGCTGCAACCAAAGGTACGCACTTTTCACTGAGAATACACCATCCTTATCACAAATCCATCTCCAATGGTCTTGCTTAGAAGATAAAATTTGCAGACCCTGAAGCATTTCCAACAAGGTATTCACACTCCTTACTTCATGGACAAAAGGTTCTCTTCTCCAATTAACCTGCCACACCCACCTAGATCCCTCCCAAGTTCCATTATGCCCCACCATTGACAACGGATCAAAGGCAAAGGAGTACAAACGAGGAAAGACATCCAACAAGCGCAAACCACCTATCCACTTATCCTCCCAAAATCGGGTTGTAGTGCCATCGCCAATACAACGTTCAATCTTTTCATCCAACCAAAAATTTCCTTGTTGTAGCACCCACACTATATCCTTCCACCACCAAGAAGCCCTCCTATCCACATTTGAGCACTTATCACGTTGAGCCATCCTTGACACCTCTCCACAAGAAATCACGTTGGATGACCACAATTTCCTTAATCACCGAGTTTGGTGCTTTAAAAAATGACAGAAAATGGATGGGCATTGCATTCAAAACTGAATTAATTAAGGTCACCCTCCCCCCAATGGACAAATGCCTATGCTTCCAAGAGGATAGACGCTTACGTAAGCCATCAAGTATTGGTCTCCAAGTAGCCAACTTCCTAGGATTTGCACCAAGAGGTAAGCCCAAATGCTTAAACGGTAGTTGACCCACCTTACAATGCAAAAAAGAAGCCGACAAATCAATAAAATCTACCCCTGAGTGAATGCCAACCACGCAACTCTTGTGAAAGTTAATTTTCATATATGAAATTAACTCAAAACAACGCAATATGGCCTTTAAGCACCACAAATTCTGCATAGTAGCTTCTCCAATTATCAAAGTATCATCAACGAACTGCAAAAGAGAAATTGGTGGACTTTCACCACCCAAGTGTACTCCCGTAAATAGATTCATATCTAAGGTCTTGGTCATCAACAATCTGAGACCTTCTGCAGCAATTAGGAACAAAGATGGTGCTAATGGATCTCCCTGCAACAATTAGGAACATTGAAATTGATACTCATGTTCGACGCTCT